GCAAGGAACACCATATTGCATAGACTGCCGAAAAGCTAACTTCGATCCAACTTGCGAGGTAGGCTATTAGAATGAGCATTTTGCTACATTGACCCGTTCAAGTTTCCTACTAGGTTTTTAATTATTAACTGGAATATTTCAAGCATATGGGTTTTCGTCTCAGCGTAGCAGTAAGCTATTTTTACACTTATGTCTAAAATTATAAAATAATTTTAAAAACAAAGTACAACCGAGAGCTTAATTCTGGTTTAAGCCTCACCTTCTATTTATGCAAGACTAACGTATAACAAGCCGAGGTTGGTCTATGCAGGTAAGTAGCCATCTGCTTCAAAGTGGAAACTAATCTACGCATGATTTTGCAATTACATCAAATCAATAATGCATTCTAATGTGGCCATAGATGTGCCTTCCACTTTCATTCCACAGGGACTGTAAAAATTTGCCTTATGGACTTGTAAGTAATAGCCAGGAAACCTCAGTGAGTTGCCACCATTGTTGTCTCCTTCAGGCTGTTTTGGGTGTAGTATTTCGCATTTCGCATATGACTGTCTCATGCAAACTGTGTTCACTAATTTTAGAAATGCGGCAAAAAAATTGATTCGACCATCAAATACACGATTTACAACAACAAGACCTACCATAGGGATTGTTTCGTCTGTTACCAATGCAAACAGCCACTGGAGGGAAAGAAATTTTTCATCAAGGACGGACAGAATTACTGCTCTGAACACAGCAAATAGACAAAGTGCATTTTGTCTTGCTAACCTCATTTGCTTGCTTTGATTATCTACAATAAAATAGAACTATTGCCATGTTGCCTTCGTGTATAGACATACACTATGCAGCATTAACCTAAAATATAAAAAATCAATTGTTTTCAGCTTTTTGTCGTCTTTAATGGGGGCGACGTGCGGCAGATATCGTGATTGAAATGCAATTGTAGGTCTCAAATGCTTTATATGCATGCTTTGACTTGCCAGTCTGATCGTCGCGAACGACGATATCCACGGGGACCCCTCGGAATAATATGCGCAGTACTGGTGACTTGTGCGTGAATTGCTTTGAAATTATAACAAACTTTCGCAGTATTCGTTGAATTCTCTCCTCCTCGATACACTTGTGCCGAGTGGCAAGACAAAGTGAGGACAACGCGAGGCAGGCTCGGTTGCTCTGGCAGACACGATTACAGGTCCGTCTACGCGTGACACGCACAATGGACCAGGTATTCGTACAAACAAGGAACGACTCGGATCCCCTCTAACTTGGACTCTCATATAGACTGCAGCAAGAAGAGGCCATTGCAGCCTGAATCTCCATGCTGGGACGACTGCGTTATCCTTCACTTGGCAACCCTCCAGATGACAACTTTTCGTGCTCCGTGAGAGCCGTGCCAAATCGTTTGTGTTATAAAAATGCGAATGAGTGCTGTTGGGAAGTAAGCCCTAGAGTCAACTTCACTCTCTCTCCTGCCTTTCCCCTGCACGCGTCCGTTGTCTGAACTGGTCGGTCATCTAATACTGGGATTTCGTGCAGGTAGCTGACAAAACTAATTAACTCATAGTGTGTGCCACACATGATATGACCCCCTTTACAAATCTCATGGGAGTTTCTCGCAAATGTTGGGGAAGTTCGAAGCTCCTGTGCAATGAGAGTGCCTTAGAGGCCACATTAAGAAGAAGACATTGAGCCGGACTCTAAGTCCACCAGTCTGTCATTGCGTACACACAGGACCGACCGCGAGGTCTAGGCAAGTTTCATGTGCACGGCAAATCAAAAGACCGCATCTGCGGGATGCATAATTATGTCAGAACTAAAAGCCGAAGATTGCAAAAAGTCAAAATATCTAATCTTATTGTTGATAAAGCCGCTATTCTGTTCTGATCGACCATGAATTCCACGGAAACAGAGTGTCTATGCTCCGCATCGATCGAGAACTATTCAAGGCCAACTAGGCCGCCAGTCTAAAGTTCCTACTTTGACTTGACTAAACTTGGATAAATTCCTCACAACCAAAGACTACCGTATGGCGATTCCAACAGAAACAGATATGGCGCGATTCTGCTCCCTTCCGAAAGTAAACAATCTAGACACTGCCAATGAAAGCGAAGAGAGGAGTCCCAGGAAGTAGTCTTAAAGAAGGAGACACGATCGCTGGGACAAGAGCTTTATTAGCCTGACGTTTCCGGTTCCTGCTCGAACCCATCATCAGAGACAACAGCAGATACGGGTGAGTTATGCACCACAGACTGCAGTATTTATGGCATGCAGTCTCCATGCTACCGCATTCAAATGAACATTCACGGCTCCCCCTTCATCTGGGATCGTTGCACGTGGTGTGTTAATTGCTTGATGGTCGACGTTCGCGTCGTGAATTGCTGCAAGTTCATCACGTGCGTTGGATGTTGGTGTGATGATTGCTCGACCATCTGACGCATCGATCCTGGTGTCGGGAGAAGTGTTCACCTTTTTGGGATCTATGCTTAAATTCTAGACCACAGTTGACTTTATACTTATTCTTAAAATATAATTAAGTGCAAAATTAACTGGAGGTCGCTATGCAAAAGTTATCCCGCATGTGCTGTTTTATTTGCTCAGGATTTTGCATGGACGATTTATGTTCTGAAAAGACTAACGATTACTCACTTGACAATATTTTTAGGGTTTCTGTCGTTTTATAATCAACCTAGTACTCCTTTTTATACTTTCATGCGAATTATCCTCCTCTTAGGTCGTTCCTTATTAATTTAGAATGCTGGTCGACATATTTAGGCGGTTTTGGAGTGATGTGGGGTAGCATGTTAATGTAGGCGTGTTAGACCAGTTAGTGAGTTCACTACATGCAGAAGTTACACAACACTATCACTGTTTCCTCCAAATACTTAAATGCGGACATCATGGAAGTTACTTCATTTAAGTCTTAAAGGCAACACTACCTTTAGCAAATTCGTAAATTATCTGTGTTCTTTATTTTAATCGCATTCATGAGGTAGCACACTGTTTTGAAGTTTGTATGCATGAATTCTGTTTACACATATTTATCACTTGTTTGGCAGATAAACCAAGAATTTCGTTAAATTGATTATTATTCATGATTTTAAAATGGTGTTTTTTAAAAGATGAATACAGGAGGCCATTTTAAGCAATTTAATGCGTGGTAAAGCTTCATTGAAATGCAGTAATAGTGATTGGGGAATTCATTTATTTGTGGTTAAGTTAGGCTTATAAACGGTTAACATCGTTCGGATGAGAAGCAGAGAACACCATTCAACTAGTGACTCCGTTGCTTTATATAAATTGAACTTAACGCGTTTTTGACAATAGGATTAAGATACGACGATGCTTTTGAGAGCTTATATGAGAGGTGGTTGTAACTAGAAATAGGCTGAAACGCAAGACAGCGCATTAACTACCGTAAGTTTAGATCTTGCGAGTGCCTGTACAGTACATCCGATATGACTACATTGTTTGTCACTGAACTCTTAAGCAACTGACTGAATCACCGACTGTTAAAATAAGATTTATATGTGACACAACATCTTAATTCTTTAGCACGTTTTTTCTATCCATTTATTACTAATCCGTTCCTCGCCTATACAATTAACTCTAAAAAACAAGTATACCCATGCCACTTGTGACACTGATCATAAGCCTCTCATTTTCTCGTACAGAAAAAAGTAAGATTTTAAGTATTACGTTGCTAAAACATTTGCGACCCCGCGCAAGCATACGACTTTCCAACCAAAATAAGTTAAGACAAAATGATGCGTCTCGCTCATCTTGTGCCTGTCTCCCTGAAAACTTCCAGGGGCGCAAAGCTATAGTAAAGATTTATCACGCCAGTTGGTTCACAAAAATCTGTCCCAAATTCTTGTAGGCACGAACCATTTGAAGTCATACTCGCATCCTGGTTGATTTAGCGGTATCAGCAGTGTAAAGCGGAAACTTCGACCCCTGAAGTATTTAAACAATTTGTCTGCCCATGATGCAGTTTAGTACAAGGCGTATATATTTAATAATTTTAGAAACATTCAAACATTTTCAAGTGCCTACTTCTGTTTTCAATTAAAAATAAAGTAAGTAACAGCAGCATCTCAGAGCCAAATTGGTTCTCCTTCGTTTTACGACGCGGCACGAACCCAAGCTCACTTTTATCATATTGCCAAAACTTCGCCTTTATATAAAGGATGTTATTTAGGCTCTCAAACAGCAAACTAACAGATGAACTTACTGTTTCATGAGAATGCCTTTTGTAACGGATATATTTATTAAAAGGATCAATTGGGACGCACATCTACTTAAAACAGATCAGTAGCCTCTATCTCGAGTGAATTCAAATGTGGGACTAAAGTAGGCAGCGTATTATCATGGGAAATGGTGAGCGATGTTACTTGTTATTGATTTCTACTGCAACGCTGCAGTTAAAAAATTCCGCTGTGTTGCTATCAGTGCTCTCGAAAGCCCTACTGCACACCTGATACAGACCAGAGCGACGTAGCCAAATACCTATGTTAGTTCCTATCCAGTGAAGTTAGTAAGAATTAAATTTAAGATAATATAATGAAAGCTTAGGTAACTTTTCAGTACGTAGTGAACTCTTTTGCCAGCAGTCCTGTGAGTGCAGTTCGTATCTGACTTCCAGTTGTCGTTAGACTGCACCCTCAAATGTTAAAAAATTGGGGATTAACAAGGTGCATTGTTGGACTAAAATTTCATCGTGCTAAAAACAATATCTGAATTAGGTTCCTATTTTCCTTCGAGAAGACGGTATTTATGTTAAAGTTCAGTATCTTTGAGCGTAATATTTGGAGAAATGCAAACATCTTTACAAGCGGTCTTTTGAGCCATATGAGGTTAGTTAAAATGGAGAGCAATATTGCTAATCAAACGGCCACCAAACCCAATTTATTCAAGGCCTGCCCATCCTCTCAAAGCGAGTGCACGGCACAGCAAGTGCGTGACAAGTGACTAACCACCGCAGCCAGCTTTGTCGAAGATTTGGCCTAGCTTGGTCCGGTATGAGGTACGCAATCGGTTGAGACAATGAAAGCTGATGTTTCGGTTCGTCACCTTCACTGTCCGACGTAAGCTTACTTATATTACTAAAGAGCTATCAAAAACTTACCTTCGCTGAATATGACTTCAAGTACAGTTTGTAAGATGAACACAAAAGGTCGTTGTTAACCGATTCCATGCCCAGTAAATTTGCATAAATATTCGACATTTCTGGTTGAATAGTTGCACAAATTTATGATAAAAAAGGTAAACAGGTGATTTGCAATTTACGGATAAAGAGCAAAATCAAAAATACAAATGTCGGGCACACAGTGGTTTTGTAGTCAGTAACTGGTCTCATGATTTGCTGACCGGAAATCCTCATTGTGTTTTCTATTAGAAAATATTGCTGAGGTGGGGTTGTACGTTTTATCGTTTTACAGCATACTTCAAAAATATTTCCTGCAGAAAAATATGTCGGCTTTTGACTGTAATTTTTCCGGCTGCACGAAAAACCGCACTCGGTCAAATGACTATGTAAGCGGTACGCTTTTTTCATTCATTTATCATTTGGTAGCTGACTACGTCTATAGTTAATTTTATGCCCGAGAACATGATAACTTTTAGCTTTAAAAGATCGTAAAAATGATATTTTTTGACCATTTATTGCATATTTGAATCGTTCGTACCTTATAGCTTCATATGAATTGTATGAAATTTTAGAAACCTATAGTGTATTTCTTATTGC